AGAGAGAGAATAGAAGAGAGAGAGAGAGAGAGAGAGAGAGAGAGAGAGAGAGAGAGAGAGAGAGAGAGAGAGAGAGGCAGAGATAGAGGCAGAGAGAGAGAGGCACAGAGAGAGAGGCAGAGAGAGAGAGAGAGGCAGAGAGACAGAGGCAGAGAGAGAGGCAGAGAGAGAGAGAGAGAGGCAGGGAAAGAGAGGCAGAGACAGAGAGAGGGCAGAGAGAGAGAGAGAGAGACAGAGAGAGCAGAGAGAGCAGAGAGAGAGGCAGCTCAGTCACACTTAAATCCAGATTCGTCCTCACCGAGTCCCACCACCAAGGGAGCGCCAGCAAGGAGATGCACATATGGGGATCCCCACGCAGTGAATAATTTCCCGAGAGTACCTGGAGAACCTCGCAATTTTTGGTAGCCGCCGTCGTCGGTTTCTCGGAGATACGGCCTGGTCTAACCGAGAGCCCAAACCTGCGCATGTAGAATGTGGCCCTGGTCGCGTCTGGGAGCTCCAGATGCCTCGGAGAGCTGGGACAGCGCTAGGATTTTGCTGTGGCTAGTTGTTCCGGAGCAAACTTGCGACCACCTGCTACCTGAAGCTCGATGATCTCCATTGTATACGATCACAGATGCAGTGCCTCGTCCTCTGCTGGGCTCATCTTCGCTGGGTCCCTACGATTTCGTTGGCTGCATTTATGCGAGCGAACTCTGTGTGCGGTGGACATAGAAACACTGGCCGAGGGCGCCGCGTCCGGATCGTCCTTGAACCTAGCTCACGGTGGTCTGCCCATCGGGAATCCCAGCCCGTCGTTAGCTCTAGACGGCCGCCGGTCAACCTGGAACTGGTTCGAATGTTCGCCCAGACCAGTTAGGACAGCCAGCGCGTCGTCGATCTCGCAATGTGGTTCGGGGCCCCGTGGCATGGCGGTGGCTAGGTAGCTCTAGAGGGGGGCGACGTAGTGGGGCCCCTCATCGTTAGCCTGGCCCTCGGGGCCCACGAGCCTGACCCGAAGCTGGCGTCGTCCGTCGCCGGATTCGCACATGCATGCACGCGCGTGGGTGGGTGCGGCAGGATGAGGGGGATAGATCAGGGTGCTGGCTTTTGTGGGAAAACTTCCGGTCGACGTGACAGTGCAGACCGGCCGCCCTGGTCTGTTCCAGAGGAGGGCAATCCTCTCTGAGCGAGCTGCAAGAGGAAGGCATGCAAAGCCAGCGCTCCCGCGGATACCTGCTGTCCAGCAGCCGTAGCACCCCGCTCTCCCCAAGGCGCCCTTCATGGCTGAGTGCCCGGGGGAGTGGCCCACCGCGGCGAACCCGAGGTTCGTCGGCGGCCCAGGGGTGGCGAGCAGGGATTGGCAGTCGAGCTCGTGGCCGCTGATCCCGAGCTCATGTTCTGCCTCCTGTTCATCGTGTGCGTGGGCGTCGCGAATTGTTCGTGCGGCGCCGCTGCCGCGGTTTCCGTGGAGGCAGCCATCGCCTCTGCCGCGGCTGCAGATAGGCTCTGCGCCATTTCCTTGGCCCGCTGGGGGGGGGGCTCCTCGTCGCGGCTGGGCCATGTGTCCTCGTCGTTCGGGGCTGAAGCCGCGCGCCTGCCCGGCGCCTGTGCCGTCTGAGCCGCCAGCGTGGGGGAGGCGAACACCGCGCGACAGCTCCTCCTTGATCTTCCTGAGCTCGGAGGCCGTCATCTGCTGGTGGCCGCCCCCGCGAAGCCCGATCCCCTCGTGGGGCGACCTCGCCTTGCTCTGGCTGCGATGCCCCCTGTTCCCGTACTGGTTTTGCTGGGGCACGAATCACCTGGGGCGACGAGGGCGCTGCGTCCTGGGAATAGTCTCCAGCGTCTTGATCATCGGCGCCCGGTACTCGTTGAGCTGCGGTACTAGCTTGGGGTCCACCATCGGCCGCCGCCGGAGCTATTTCCCAGGAGACAGCCGTCCACTCCTGCCCTGCGCGTAGAACTGGTCAATGAAACTCTGCATCCGCGTTCGCCCGGCGCGGAACAGGCTGATCCTGTGCATCCGAATCCGTTCCGACCTCTGAGAGTCTGCTGTCCTTCGTCCTCGCGAGGCGGAGGGCGTCGCGCACCCCGGGGTCGCACCTGGCTCAGAGCTTGAGCCCGAGCAGCGGCAGGGTGGGTGTTGTGATGGGAGTCGGAGATGTTGGCGTTTGCGCGGCCATCGGAGTCGGTGAGGAGGCTCTGTGTCCCGTCGAGCCTTGCGGGGGTGGGTGCGATGCAGGCTGCTGAAGTCGGTCTGGGGTCCCTGGAGGTCCCGTCGGGTCTTGTCGGAAGCCTCAGGGTCGTTTCGGTGGTTGTAGTTGTTGGTGCTCGGGGTCTCTCGAGGTCCCGTTGTGCCTGTTGATGGGCCTATGGGGGCGTGGTGTTTCTTCTCGGCCGAGACTCGGAAGGCGTTCGAGCGTGTTCAGCTGCCATGGCGTGCGGGCTAGACTCGAGGGTGTTCTCCGACCCGCACCAATCGTTGATGTAGATGCCCAGGTGGACCTTCCCGACCTGGCGGCGCTCGGTCTCGCAGTCCAGCTTCCCGAGATGGGGCACCTCTTTCTGGTTGTCCAGCACATCTGCGAACTGCTCCAAGAAGCCTCCCGGCAGGAAGGGAGACAGGTCCTCATCCGTGGCCGGGAACTCGATGGCCACGATGACTATTGGCACCTCGGCGACCCCGACCAGCGTTGCCGAGCCGCCGATCTCGCTAGGAGTGTGCACCCTTTTCTCGATCCAGTTGATTCGGGGGCCTCGATGTCGTAGACCCTCCTCCAGATCCTTTAGGGCTGGGTAGCCGATGATCGTCTGCGACTCGCCGCAGTCCACAATGGTCAGGCCTTCCTCCAGTATCAGCAGCGTGCGCTTCGTCTCTTGGCGGCTGGTGTCTTGGCCAGCGAGCCCTCTCAAGGTCGTCAGCGCGGCTTGGCCCGAAATGGTGAGGCCGTTGATGTTAACTCTGCCGTCGTCGTCTGCCTCGATCGCCATGTGCGTGAACGCCGCCGGCTCAGCTCCTGTCCGAGGCCTGCTCTTTCTTGCCCTCGCCCATCCCCCAAGGGCGGTGAAGGTTCTTGCGCCCCTTGTGCCGGTGGCCCTACTTCTCCAGAGTTGCCATAGTTCGGGATCAGCTTTAGCTGCGATGGCGTCAAGTGGCGCGCCCTCGTCCAGAAACCTCGATCAAGCTTGAGAGCCGTCTTCAACTGCTGATTCTCCTTCCAGATCTTCTTGGCCTTCCCGATCTGCGCCGGCGTTTCCATCGCCTCGGGTTCATGCAGGCCAGTTCTGAGATCTCCACCAACACTGAAACCTCGTCATCGGAGTCAAGCTCAACGGCCCAGAAAGACCGCTCGAATATCGGCTTCTCGCTCGAGCCTTCGGATTCTTCGCGAGGTGCCAGGGTTGAGAGCGCAGGCTCCTCCGGGCTGACCAGAGACGAGTGCTTAGTGTCGCCCCAGGCTTTGCCACCTGTGTCCAACTTCGGTTGCGCCCAGAGGATATCCTTACCCAGCTTCGAGCCCTTCGTCAGGCTCTTGAGGTTCTTGGTCGTTGAGGCGAGCTTCTTGTAACAATAGCAGACCCTGGATTTTCGGCGGGATCTCCATCCCGATGCTCCTCGCCTTGTCGAATTGGCGTTTTCGCCGCTCGGCGAAGGTGTGTAGTTCCTCGTCCTTCCAGCGTTCGGTGTCCTGCATCGCCTCGCTGCCTCTACGAAGCAGATCGTCTCTTCACGATCGCCGGAAATGATGCCCATCCGCCTTAGGATGCTCTCCACCGCCAGCTCGCTGTTGGAAGTGTCTCCGAGACCCGAGCGGATGTCCCAGGGCAGCACCTCGAGTAGTCGATCTGCTGCCAGGGCCTCGCCCAGGCACAGGGCGTATTTCCAGCGCTTCACGCACAGTCTCCCAAATCTGAACATGTCCCAGCCAGGCCACGAGGGGGCCGATCTAGGCTGCTGCCACTGGTCTCGCCGCCAATTGGACGTACCTTGCCATAAGCGCCACCTGCGATGCGGACCGTGGCTCGACCATCCCTGCTTCATCCGCTGTTCGTTCGCGGCCTCTTTCCATGCCTCGGCGGACCTCATGGACGGCGGGACGTGCTTGTCTTCAGCGTCCGTGTCTCCGGCGGTGGCCTCGGCCTTCCAGGCCGCGTCACTCCAAGGATCGTGGTAACTCCAGGGGTCGCGAGAGTTGTGGCCAGTCCATTCGTCGATCATGCTCCAACCCGCCTCGTGAGATGGGGCTGCGCTGTCTCTGCTCTCGTCCTCGGGTTTCTGTCCCGAGATCATTCGCGACGTCGTGGGCGCTGGTGTCGCCAGAAAGTCTCCCGTGCCCAGCCTGATCATCTGGGTCACTTTGCTCGCAGTTATGTTCACATATGATTCTGAAAACGTTCCTGCTGCGCCGCCCGCTGAAGCGGCTGCGTTCGAGCTGCTCATTGCTAGTCGTTTGGCCTTGCACCCCTTTGGTCACCCTAGCCCTGCCGCGGATCGATAGACCGTCCCCTGGCGCACCCGTTCATGGCTTCGCTGGAAGTGTTCTGGGGAACCACGCTCCGCCTACCACTGTGGGAACGACGGGCTAAAGCGGCCATCGCAATAATGTCGGACTAAGATGTTTTCACCCAGCACGCGCAGTACAATCAATGGTTTGAGCCAAACGGCAATGGTGTCTGTAAGCCCTGCACAAAGACAAAACGTAACGGGCGACACGGGCGTGTCGCCCGTTACGGGTGGGCTTTTCTCGCTGCGCTACTGTACACCTAACTGCTGTACAAGCATACAAGAACACACACACAACATAAACAACATGCACAACATACATGCAACAGAGACGGAAACCACATATGAATCAGGACGAGAGGGAACGCCACGATTCCACAATTTCCGCCTTGCGCCGCAGGACGCCTCGCCACACTGATGCGGCCCTACCGCCTACGATGCCCTATGAACAACCACGCGCCATCGCCTCTCTTTCACCTCCGCGCCGGGCGAACGGCCAGCAGCGGGCCCGCAGCGCTCACTCGCCCTCCCCCTCCTCCTCGTCCTCGCTGCTGCTGCCGTAAGCCCCCAGGCCGATGCCGCCTGGCGCTGCGCGAGGGGGGCGCGTCAGGCGCGCTGGCGGCACTCCGCGGAACCTCGCCTGCTCCCCCCTCTGAGGTGAGCATGATGCAAGGAAGCGACTTCTGGGAGGTCCCCGTAAGAACGATCATGGGCTGTTAAGCCCGATTAAAGGGGGCACTGAGCCGAACTGGGCCATATTAAGTCGAAGTGTGCTGGGTTAGTCAGGTCTTCATCTACCAGCGCCGATTCTGAGTTAAACTTCCGAAGAGTCGCATACTAACTGATGAGGTGATGGGTTCACATCAAGTACGGATCCGTCTTAGATGCGAGCGGAGATGAAGTGAGGGCGACTGATATGAGGTGAAGACGGGTAGTGAACACGATGCTAGGTTGAAGGTGGGTTCGCTTGACATGTGGAAAATCTGCGATGGTTGCGGTTGTGAAGCGATGGTGTGGAATCTGCTCCTCCCTCTTCAAATTCTCCTTTCCGTTCCTTTTCTCTTGCCCAGGGGTGTTCAGGGAAAACAAACATCTCGTTCGCGTGTGGGAGACGAGGGTGGCTGTGGAGCGAAGGCTGTGTGTGTGTGTGTGTCTGTGTGTCTGTGCGTGTGTGTGTGTGTGTGTGTGTGTGTGTGTGTGTGTGCGTGTGCGTGTGTGTGTGTGTGTGTGTGTGTGTGTGTGTGTGTGTGTGTGTGTGTGTGCGTGCGTGTGTGTGTGTGTGTGTGTGTGTGTGTGTTTGTTTGCTCGTTTGTTTGGTTTGTCGGTTTGTTTGTGTGTGTGTGTGTGTGTTTGTTTGTTTGTTTGTTTCTTTGTTTGTTTGTTTGTTTGTTTGTTTGTGTGTGTGTGTGTCTGTCACCTGGCCGGGGGGGGGGTCCAGAGAAACACACGCAATGATTCTACATATGTGGTGGGAGGGGACATGCGGCTGGTTATGAATGGTCCTTCCCAAGCCCCGAACGGCCCCCCCACGCCCCCAAGACGGCCTCACGAGAGCCCAAGCTTGCTCGCTAAACCCCTCAGGCGGCCCACGACCTCCCAAAAAGGCGCCAAGACGAGCTGGAAGACCCGACCAGGCGTCCTCAACACGGCTCTACCCAACCTCTTTGGGAGAGCTCGGTGGAACGATCGCGCCCAAAGCGGCCCCAATGCCCTCAACAGGCCCCGCAAGCAGTCAACGAGAAGCCTCATGTCAGCGCCCGCTAGGTCCCGAAAAGGAAGCCAGCAGGCCCCGAAGAATCCTCCAAATAGGCCCTCGGTGGGCACTGCGACAATCATGCAGCGTTACGGCCAGCCGCGCCACGACATCGAGGCGCTGCTATCCCGATGGCCCAATCGATGCTTCTACCGAGCCCGCTCGGGAGAGGTCAGCAGAACGAGCCTGGCAGACTTCGATGCTTCGCTGGCAGGGTGGCAGGGTTTGCCACTGGCAGGTAGACACTGGAGGACGGATTAATGAGCGAGTCTCAACTTATAGTCGGACCTGCTTCAAGCAAGACATGCGGGCTTCTCACTGCCCTTGTCCCTAGGAACAAGAGGGCCTGACGACAATATGCATTACTCCCGAGACAGCTGCAGGCTCATTGAACAGCCATGTCTTTTCCTCGGATTCTATCGTGAAATGCGGCCATCGTGCAACGCTCACAACACAACAGGATTCGAGCGAGCAGCAGCAAGGGGTAGGGAGTGGTATGCGGGGATTGGGGGGCAGGGGCAGGGATGAAAGGAGGTAGGGTGCAGGGAGGGATAAGGAAGAGAAACAGGGAGGAGGGAGGAAGAGAGAGAGAGAGAGAGAGAGAGAGGACGATATGAAAAGAAAAGACAATGATACAACAAGACGAAAACTCATGACACAAACTGGATCTTTTAAGTCTGCTGAACTCTACGACCCTTGCTACTGTACCGTGCGTGCTCCTTTTGAAACGTTGTCTCCGTAATGTATTGTTGTAATCTCGCGGCGACGCCGCAGAATAGCCCCACCGTTCGTGAACGATTTCCTATTCGGCGTGTCGACATTGAGCGAAAAGGGGTGGGAGGGGGGGGGGGGGCTGGCTCTGGAACTCTGCTTAACGCGACTGTTTGCAACAGTGCGTCCTATCGGGGAGACTCCACCTGCTTGAAGCAGGCGCCCAAAACAGCCAGGATCTACTCCATGGCGGTGGAGGAGGGGTGCGAGGGTCCACGCCGATCGGCAAAACAATGAATAAGAGAAAGACGACTTAGCCACCGCAAGCAATACCTGTTTGATGGGCTGATAACTCGCCCTTTGCACCGGCCGTCGCAAGCCAGAAGCTGCTCCCACGCGTGTGCGATTCCATCGCGAGTGCGCCTGAACCCACGGGCTTGCGGTCGAACCCACGGATCTCGCGGAACCCACGGAACCCACGGGCCTGCGGTCGAACCCACGCGAGTGCGCGAGTGCGCTGGAGCCCAGGGAACCCATCGCTAGTGCGCTGGAACTGCCCGCCCGTGCTGCTCCGTAGCGGGCCTGGGCGCCTCCGCAATGGAAAAGCTCCGGCGTCGCGTCGCTTCCCTCCTAGACCACTCCCCTGCTCGGCTCTGGTCCCCACAATCTGAAGCTGCCGCTCTGGGCCTATACGCCACGGGGCACGAGGACGCGCAAATTGTCGTAGCGCGGATCCGTGGCCGCATACAGTCCAAGCGTGGCTAGTAGAGAGCGTGGGTCAAGAACACGGGCTCTTTCTGCCGACGGCCCAAGGCCCCGTGGAGGCGCCCGAAGCGAGGAGCGTTCCACGGTGGAGAATCCAAGCGGCAAGAGTAGCAGGGTACCACTCCAGGGCTAGGCTTATGTCGGGCGTGTCCCCCAAAATCCCACCAGCCCTTTGGGCGTGAGTGGCCAAGGCCCTAGGCTTCCCAAGGGTAGGCCCTACCCAAGGCCCTAGGCTTCCCAAGGGTAGGCCCTACCCAAGGCCCTAGGCTTCCCAAGGGTAGGCCCTACCCAAGGCCCTAGGCTTCCCAAGGGTAGGCCCTACCCAAGGCCCTAGGCTTCCCAAGGGTAGGCCCTACCCAAGGCCCTAGGCTTCCCAAGGGTAGGCCCTACCCAAGGCCCTACCCAAGGGTAGGCCCTCCTGGGACCCCCCTCGCTGACCCCCCCTCGCAGACCCCCCCTCGCTGACCCCCCTTGGGACCCCCCTTGACCCCCCCTCGCTGACCCCCCTCACGGACCCCCCACCGGTCTATCCTAGGGTTGATGCCTTTAGTCGGGCGGGCGGGCGGGACATTAAAGGCATTGATTGCTTGCTTGTGTGGTGGATTACCAATTGCTTCCCGTTGGTACCGGATTACGAGTAGATTCCATTTGTGGCGGATTACAAGCTGATTCCTTTTGTCGGGCGGGCGGGCGGGACATTAAAGGCATTGATTGCTTGTGTGGCGGATGGCAAACTGATTCTTATTGTGGCAGATTACACATTGATTCCTTTTGTCTGGCGGGCGGGCGGGACATTAAAGGCAATGATTGCTTGTTTGGTGAATTGCGAATGGATTCCCTTTGGCAGCGGATTTTAACTTATTCCTTTGGTCGGGCGCCTTTTGCCGGGCGGGCGGGCGGGACATTGAAGGCAATAATTGCTTGTGTGGTGAATTACACATGGATTCCCTTTGGCAGCGGATTGCAAACTTATTCCTTTGGTCGGGCGGGCGGGCGGGACATTAAATGCATTGATTGCTTTCGTGGCGGATTACAAAGTGATTCCATTTGGCAGCGGATTGCAAGTTGATTACTATTATGGCGGATTACAAGCTGATTCCTTTTGTCGGGCGGGCGGGCGGGACATTAAAGGCATTGCTTGCTTGTGTGGCGGATTACACATACTGAAGGCCCTAGGCTTCCCAAGGATAGGCCCTACTGGACACCCTAGGGTAGCCCTAGGGTACCCCTAGGGGTAGGCCCCAGAGGTAGCCCTAGGGTAGCCCTAGGGGTAGGCCCTAGGGTAGCCCTAGGGTAGCCCTAGGGGTAGGCCCTAGGGGTAGCCCTAGGGTAGCCCTAGGGGTAGGCCCTAGGGGTAGCCTAGGGTAGCCCTAGGGGTAGGCCCTAGGGGTAGGCCTAGGGTAGCCCTAGGGGTAGGCCCTAGGGGTAGCCTAGGGTAGCCCTAGGGGTAGGCCCTAGGGGTAGGCCTAGGGTAGCCCTAGGGGTAGGGTAGCCCTTCCTTGGGTGATCTATAAGCCTTCGGGGAGGGGTTTACCCCTCCCCCTATCCCCTCCCCCTGGACCTGGGCAGGGAGTCCGGGGCGGTGTCGGGGGGGTCCATTTCGACTCCTGGGAGGGCCAAAAAACGACGACCCTCACGAGGATTCTGGCCCCGACGGGGGGGCCGAGTTTGGCCCCTCTGCTCTTCTTTGAAGCCGAAATCATTGATTTTACTACGGTTTTGGCCCCATTTGGGCGTCCTGAGGGGGTCGCGCTCATCTTCCTTCATAGCAAAATCATTGATTTTACGAAGGTTTTGGGCTCATTTTGTCCTTCTCAGGGCGCAGCTCTCATTTGCGCTTCTGAGGAGGTCGCAAGAGGCCCCAAGATGGCCCCAAGAGGCTCCCAGGAGGCTCCCAAGAGGCCTCCAAGAGGCCCCCCAGAGGCCCCCAAGCGGCCCCAAGAGGCCCCCAAGAGGCCCCCAAGAGGCCCCCAAGAGGCCCCAAGAGGCCCCAAGAGGCCCCCAAGAGGCCCCCAAGAGGCCCCCAAGAGGCCCCCAAGAGGCCCCAAGAGGCTCCAAGAGGCCCCCAAGAGGCCCCACGAGGAGCCCGAACGACTCACACCAGGACGAGGGCCCCGAACGACTCACACCACGAGGAGCCCGAACGACTCACACCAGGAGGAGGAGCCCGAACGACTCACACCAGGACGAAGGGCCCGAACAACTCACACCACGAGAAGCCCGAACGACTCACGCCAGGACGAAGAGCCCGAACGACTCAAACCACGACGAAGAGCCCGAACGACTCACACCAGGAAGAAGGGCCCGAACGACTCACACCAGGACGAGAGCCCCGGAGATATGCGGGGGCAGGCGGAAACACGCCTGAAAAACACGACTGTCGGCATGCTTCGCAAGAGTTGCTGTTTTGAGATGGGCTGGTGGGGATACGCGAAGCGTAAAGAATTCCCCCAAATGGTTAAAACATATTCAAAAATAGTCCCCAGACTATTTTTGGAGTATTTTTTGATTATTTGTTTTGGGTATTTTCTATTTTTCGTCGAAAATCCCCTTGTAGGGGGACAGGCCCGACTTAAGGCTAGGGTCGCTCGTGCTCCTCGTGCCAGCTGTGTGATGGCGTGCTGTGGCTTGCGCTGCTCTGCTGCCATGTGCAGCCGCACCTGGAGCAGCAGAGCACCCTCCGAGCATGAGTATGTGAGGCCCTCCGCCGATGAAGCCGAAGAACACTGGAGGGTCCCCTCCCCAAGGATGCACGAGACTATCCAGCAAGCACGCAGAATGTTAGAGCACGCGTCGTTCATTTGTAATCGTGCTCACTTCTAACTGTGCTCGTCTCTAATTGTTCCTGGCCCCCCCGTGGCCAAGAAGAGGCCCAGGATAGAACACTTAGAAATGAAAAGGACCTTGGCCTCCTCCTAAAAAATCAAGAACTGTCGAACAATTAGAAATGAACAATTGAAGGGGCCCTGGGACACACAAATAAATACACACAAATAAAATATTTCCCCGTATTTTCCCATATTTTCTGGGTTTTTGTCTTCCCGCCCAAATCCCATATTTTCCCATATTTTCCTGGAACTCGACGATGAAGTGTGTCTCTGTGTTTCTTTCCCTCCTGAACAGTGTGTATATGAGACCCTCCGCCGGCGAAGCCGAAGAACACTCGAGGGTACCCCCCCCGGGGGCACGAGAAGATCCAACAGGCACGCAAAACCTTGGAGCACCCTCCCCGAACCGACCTCGATCTCGTGCCCCGGTCCGACCGTGCCCTGGGCTTCTGTCGCCCGGGCAGCGCCGACAGGGCGGAACCTAAACGGTGTCTTTCGTCTTCGTTTTGTTTTCGTTCTCCCTCGTTCTGTCTTCAATCCGCCTTTATACCGCAAAACGACCTCGAAGCGAAAACGGCCCACGAAATCGCCAGAACACCGTGTAGGTCCAGCCCTGACCGCCGACAAACGCCCGAGAGCCGGCGCAGGGCCCGGAGGTCCTCCGGCCGGGCCCTCGACGAGGCTGCATCCGCAGGTCGCCTGGGCGTCTGCCGCCCGAGCACCGCGCTCGGAGACGGGCGAGAGCCGACGGGAGCGTGCGAGGCCCTGCGGCGCCCGGCCCTCGACGAGGCCCCCGCGTGCGATGGCGCCCCGTGGCCTTCGCCGCTCCGTCCTCGCGTCCGACGGGGCTGCTGAGCCGCCCAGAGGGACCGCCGAGGACGCCCGAAAGACCGACGCGAAGGGGGACGCAGCAACGCGGGTCGGCACAGGCCGGGGGTCGGCCAATGCCCTGCCGCGAAGCCCAGCCAGCCGCTCAGCAGCTGCGGAGGGCCGAAGGCGGAGATCGGCCCCGCGTGGCTCCCACACGCAGGTCCGCCAGAGGGGGCTGGCTGACCCCCTGTCAGCGCTGCCCCCCGTCACGTGGGCCCCCAAGAGGGGGAGGGGGGGGGGGGATGGCGGGGCGTGGACGGCTCCGGCTGAGAGCCCGTCGGGGCTTGCCGGAGGTGCTCCCGGCCTGGGGTGTCCCCAGGACTCTTCCAAGGGGGGGGGGGAGTGCGGGGGTAGGTGGCTTCCTGAGCGCTCCTCGCGAGGCCCAGGGGGGCCCTCCGGGGTGGAGCACCCCTCGCGAGCACTCCTCGCGTGGGTCCCGCGGCGAACACGTCCGAGACCCTCCGGCCCGATCCTCGGCGAGGCCCCCTGCGGCCCCCGTGCGGCCTGCGGCCGCCTCGCCGCCGCCAGCCGCCTCGTCGGCGCTCGCGTCGGCCGGCGGGGCTGCCGAGCCTCCGCTCCGCTGGGCGGCGACGACGACAATGGGCGATGGGCGATGGGCGATGGGCGACGGGCGATGGAGGGCGACGAAGACAACGACGACGGACGAGGACGACGAAGATGGACGACGATGACGACGACGACGGCGAACGAGGACGACGACGATGGACGACGACGACGGCGACGGCGACGGACGAGGACGACGACGACAACGACGACGGCGACGACGACGACGGACGAGGCCGACGACAACGGACCAGGACGAGGACGACGACGACGGCGACGACGAGAGGAGCACCCCTGCGGTCGGCGCCCGGCGCGCACCTCCGCGCGCGCACGCCGGGTGCGCCCCCCGCGCGTCGGCCCGGCGGAGAGGCCGTCCCCGCCTCCGGGGAAGGGATCGGTCACGAGCATCCTTCAACCTGTGCGTATCCCCATCCCCGCTGGCATGCCTCCTCCTCCTCCTCCTCCTCCTCCTCCTCTTCCTCCTCCTCCTCCTCGGCATCGGCCCCACTGGCCGAATGAATTACCCTCATCGCGGGTCTCACAGCAGTGCGGCGCCAGACCGTGCGGTGACCTCGAGATGACAGGAGACCTCACTGCACGGTCCGTCGATGCACGGTTTCGGGACCCTGGAGGCCCCGGTTGCCCGAGGCACCCTCGGAGAAAGACCCGAGTCCCAAAACCGTGCGGCCACCCCGAATCCCCAAGTGACTCACCGCACGGTGTGGTCGCCGCACTGTTTGGGGGGCCCTGACGATGACTGGAGGCCATCCCTGCTTCCGAGGCAAGGATCAGCCAACATCGGATCGGGGCCCAGAAAACCCACATCCCGATTCTACTCATGCTTCTCCTGCTCTCTCTCCTCCATCCCTTTTTCCTTATCCGTCACCGTGCCTGCGAGGCACGAGTTGGAATGTCCTCAGGTCTCTTGCTATATTCACAAAGCCTCAGTCCTCAATCCAGAAAAAACCTTTTGGCCCCAAGTTCTTCGTTAACCTGGAGCTCTCGGGCCCGAGAGGACCCACAGACCACAGACGGGCCAAGAGGCCCTTGACGGGATGCGCCGAAGACCACTACACGTCGTTCATTTCTAATCGTGCTCATTTCTAATTGTGCTCGTCTCTAATTGTTCCTGGCCCCTCAGTGGCCAGGAAGAGGCCCAGGATGGCACAATTAGAAATGAAAAATGATCTTGGCCCCCCAAAAAATCAAAGAACTCTCGAATGAATAGAAATGAGCAATGCGTAGCTTCCCCGCTCCCCCGAGGTATTGCCACAAGGGTGCCTCCTCCTCCTCCTCCTCCTCCTCCTCCTCCTCCTCCTCCTCTCCTCCTCCTCCTCTCCTCTCCTCCTCCTCCTCCTCCTCTCTCCTCCTCCGCCTCCTCCTCCTCCTCCTCCTCCTCCTCCTCCCCCGCCTCCTCCTCCTGCTCCTCCTCCTCCTCCTCCTCCTCCTCCTCCTCCTCCTCCTCCTCCCGTGGTATTGCAACAGGCGTGCACGGCGTGCCGAGCGTCTGGCAAGCTCTCGGCCTTCTCTCCGAAGCACTCCACCACGGGGTCTCGGCCCGGCCCGCCTGTGCCGCCCGGAGAGCTCCTCACGGTCACGCCCCTCGCTGGTCAAATCGACGCCCAGCACGGCCAAGAGGGCACCCAAGACGGCCTCCCAGACAGCCCCAGGACGCCTCCAAGACAGTCAAGAAGGCCCCGGGAGAGCCCCATGTGAAGACGGCCCAAGGTGGCCCAAGATGGGCCCAAGAGGGCCCGAAGTGGCTTCAGGATTGCCCACGAGGCCGCCAAGACGTCCCGAGAGAGCCACAAGACAGCATTGATTTCCCATTCGATTCTGAACGATTTTGGCGTTTGCTTCTTTTCGGCCTTCCGACGGCCCAATACCGCCCAAGAGGCCCCAACGATCGCACAAGCTGCCTCCAAGATGGCCCCAGGACGGCCCAAGAGGCTCCCAAGACGGCCCCCGAATGGCCCCGCCTCAAAGACGCCCGAGACACGGCCCAGAGAGGCTCCCAAGACGGCTTCCGGCGGCGTCAAGCGGGCCAAGAACGCCGTGAGACGGCCAAAGAGGCCCACAAGAAGCCCCCAAAGGCTCCCAAGAGGCCCAAGGAGGCCCCCAAGAGGCCTCCAAGAGGCGATCCAGGAAGCTCCCAGGAGGCCCCAATAATGACCCAAGAAGCTCCTAAGAGATCTCCTCATCCTTCTCCTCATCCTCGTTTTTCCTCCCTCTCCTCATCCTCCTCTTCCTCCCCAACGTGTTCCCGAACGGCTTCCAGAACGGCTGGGGGAACGCATGGTCCAATAGCGTGGCCAAGTTTTGCCCAAAGGTGTGGCCACATAGGCATATCGTAAAAGGCAGGGGCGGCGGTGATTCGTCGTAGGCGGCTTCGACACCTGACTCGTCCTCGTCTGACCACCAGGCGTGTCGGTGGTGGGGGTGGGGTGGGTGGGGTGGGGTGGGTGGGGTGGGGCGGGGGGCGTTTCGCTTAGGACTGTCTCACAGCTTGTGATCCTGAAGCTTGAAGTGTGCAGCAGCTTCAAGGATGGGGGTCGGGTGATTTTCAAGATGTGGCTCTCGCTCAGGCGCCTCGCGCATTCGTCTCACAAATTAGCGCAGCGATTTCAAGGAGCGAGGGCGGGCCTTTTTCGACATGGAGCTCTCGCATTAGTGTCGCGCGCACTCGTCGTAACAATTTTCAGCAGTCGACCCGCATCATAAGGGTGCACGATAAGGATGCAAGGGCCTTGGAAGGCCGTTCCTAAGCCTTTCGAGCGGGGCGCAGCCAGCGAAAGCGGCTCAGGATGGACCGAGGAGGCAAGGACGCAATGGGTACCCATGGGAACATCGCCCATCCTTGCTGTGCGGGTGGGCTGCACTCATGAAGATGGGATGCGGTTCTCCTCCGAACGGTTGCTCTTGCCTCAGCGGTAGGTCCGGGGCCCCTCGTCAGAAGCGGCCCTCGGCGGTGCTCGGGGTTACTTCGGGGGCGCTCCTCGGCGTTGCCCAGCAGTGGTGGCCCGGGGCGTTGCTCGGGGTGCCTCGGGGCTCCTGGGAGTTGCTTGGCAATGCCAGCCAACGCCAAACAGTACCAAGCAACACCAAACAAAGCGCCGAGCAACGCCAAGCGATGCCGGGCAATGTGAACCAGCGACTCCAAGCAACGGCACGCAAAGCCAAGCAAAGCCAAGCAATGCAAAGCTAATGCAAAGTAACGCCAACCAGTGCCAAGTAGTGCCAAACATCGTCAAACAGCGGCCAGCAACGGCACGGAATGCCAAGCAACGCCAGGAGAGGCAACACAATGGTAAGCAATGTCAGGCAACGCCAAGCAACGGGTCCAAGCAATACCAAGAAAGGCCAAGGGACGCTGAGCAATGCAAAGTAATGCTAAGCCGTGCCAAGCAATGCGAAACAATGCTTTGCTTTGCATTGCATTGCTCAGACTTGCTGTGAGTTGCTTTGGAAAAGGAAAGGCCTGTACTGGGGGCCGCGCCAGATTCATTTTCGAAGCGGACCTATCGCTCTATACTTCCTCGAAGTTCCTGACCAGAGCCGTAAACTCGTGCAACAGTGACGCAGACGGGAGCGTTACTTTTTAAAAGGGGATCTGGATTGATTCTCAGTTGAACTGTATGATCATACTAATCGCATTTCTTATAACGCGCTGGGAAGGTGCAAGACAACTCATTTTCAAAATGAGGCTCTCGCCTCAATGGTGGAACCATTCGGGTAGGCAAAAGGAAGACAACCCGCGATAGCATTCGGCACACCTATCGCGCTCAGCCTCTCCCTCACGACCAACCAGCCTCGGATTAAAGACACGTCTACCCCCGAAAACGGGCAATTCAACCTGATATGCCCCCCCCCCCCCACAGCTGGACGCGAATGGGACTGTGATGTAAGCCCCGGTGTCTCCCCCTCGGGAGGCCCGAAATGCGATGCCTGCTAGATCGTGGCGATCATGGGGCTCTGGGCAGAGACGCGTTTACCCCCTCAGCTTGACATTCTACCTGAAAGGTCCCGCCAATCCGTGATGCCTGCTACATCGCAGTGCTCATGGGGTTCTGAACGGAGGCACGTCCACCTCCGAATGACGAGCCCCAGCAATCTTGACGTGAACGGGGCCCGCTGTATACCCCCTGGCGACTCCCCCTGGGGAGGCCCGAAACGCGATGCCTGACGCATTGCTGTGATCATAGGGGCTCTGACAAGAGACGCGTGCATCTCTTCCGACGACGGCCATTCTGCCTCACAGGACCCACCGATGAGGACGCGAACGGGCCCATGATGTGCCCCCCCCCGGGCGGCCAAGAGCGACCACCAGTGACCGACAACATGAAGAAGCCCCCGGGACCCTTTGCCTGCGGACCCCTGCGCTTCTCAGGCATACGGTCGGACTCGATTGGACAGGACACGCGAGAGGACACGAGACCCTTCCGAGGGCCACGTTGCCACCGGAATGTAGGAAGCATGGGTCGCAAGACACAGGACACGAGGGTACCCTTGATCTGGCAGGGTCGACCTGCTAATCCGGGCCGCCTGTACGCGAACATGGATTACAGTCGGGGCGTTGACCTAAGGAACCCTGAATAAGGAACGAGGCCCCTATTTTTCCCATGAGTTACACTTCGATCTCCCATGGAAAACCTCATGAAAACCTAAGGCAAGCTGTAGAACAATCAAGGAACACCGAGCCCCTCCCCAACGAAAAGGGCTCCTTCTTCAGCGCCCCGACTGTGCACATCCACACGCCTGGCACGTTGGCGCGGGGTGACACTGCTCCCCCCGATGCACGGAGCCGGGGCCGCCTGATGCGCCTGTGCGCGCCGGTGTTCTCGGGAAGCGGGGCCCGTCGCTGGCCCATGCGCCCTCGTCTATGCCTGCGCTTCTCGGAGCTTCACTGCGACGTGCGCCCTCCTCCCCCCGCCGCTGGTGGTCGCGACCGCGGCGTCCTTTTTGGACGCCCGAAATGGGCACGGAAAGAATGGGTACAATGCCCAACAACAAATGCTGTCCACAAACCAACAGCGGCCGCTGTTGGGCAGGCGGCCTTCTGTCTCGAATGGACACAGGCCGCGGCCGCGTGGACAACGAACCCTGTTCAAAATGAACAGGAACTGCTGCTAGGCATTGTGCCCGTTCTTTCCGTGCCCATTTTGGGCGTCCAAATCCTTGGCCTCCTCGGCGACCGCGGGTGGGCTTGCGCCGGAATCCGTCTTCTGCTTCTTGACGACGACGAGCCCGGGCATGGCCTGCCGCGGCGGGGCACGGGCGGGAGCGGGCGGCCCCAGCGCCGAGGGCAGCAAATCTCGGAGGCAACCATGGGTGGCCCCGAGGAGGCGGCCATAGAATTCCGCCGGAACGCGCACGGAGCTCATGTGCGCAGGGGGGGAGGAGGTGAGGGAGGACTTCTTCTTCTTCTTCTTCTTCCTCCTTTTCCTCCTCCTCCTCCGCCGACGACGACGACCCGACCCGACCCGACCCAACCGGACCCGACCCGACCAGCTGCCACCATGGCGCCGTCCCCTTCGGGGACCGAGCGGGGACATGTAAAGAGTCCATCTGTCGACGGGACCGCCGCCTGGACGCCGCCAGCCCGCAGCCGCCGCCAGCCTGGCGGGCTTGCCCCCCTCCATTCTGTGCATCGTTGCCCCCGCCTTGCCACCTCGGCCCTCTTCCTCCCCGCTCCCCGCTCACCCCATCCTGTCCCCTCATCTTCCCCCTCGGCGGCTCCTTTCACCCTTCGTCCCCCCCTCTACCTCATTCCCTCCTTCTCCATCCTCCCCTCCCCTCCCTCAGAGCCTCTGCTGCAGCGGGTAGCTTCTCCAGCCCTGGAACTCTCAGGCTCTCGACAAGGGCTGGGCTTCTCGCCCTGGACCGTTTTTGTGAAGGGGCCCCGGGACACACAAAGAAAGACACACAAATCAACAGGTTTCCCCTATCTTTTCCCACACTTTTTCTGGACTTTCGTCTTCCCCCCTTCACTTCCCATATTTTTTCATATTTTCCGGGGGATCGACGATCAGTTGTGTCTCTGTGTCTTTTCCCCTCCTGATTGTGGACGACCCTGGGGCCCCGAACGCGGCACCCGCGGAGGGCCGAAGCAGCCGAGGAGCGCCAGGGCACGCAAAGACCAGCCCACCGGAGGAGGTCTGAGCCCACATGCTCTCCCACACAACCGGCGCTTGGATGTTATGCAAAGTGGGGCCGAGGAGGAGGAGGAGGAGGAGGAGGAGGAGGAGGAGGAGGAGGAGGAGGAGGAGGAGGAGGAGGAGGGAGGAGGAGGAGGAGGAGGAGGAGGGGAGGAGGAGGAGGAGGAGGAGGAGGAGGAGGAGGGAGGAGGAGGAGGAGGAGGAGCAGGGAGGAGGAGTAGGAGGAGGAGGAGGAGGAGGAGGGGGAGGAGGAGGAGGAGGAGGAGGAGGAGGAGGAGGAGGAGGAGGAGGAGGAGGAACTCGAGGAGAGCACAGGGGGGTGGCTCGAGAGGGGCGGTCCTCTAAGAGGGCGCGGGGGCATCCAGAAGTGCAGGGGCCTGCTGCGAAGCCCTCCCAGCTTCCGAGAGAAGCCTCCTCAGAAACATCCTGGGCTCTCTGAGGAGGGCCCTGCTGCCACCTGGGCGACTGCGGAAACCCTGCACCCAACAACTTGCTCACCCCTTGGGGGCAGTCTCTTACTTCCGCCAAGCTTCCGCTGGCTTCCGCCGGCGGAGGCGGCCTCGTCTTACCTCCGCCGCCCCTCCGCCGCCGCCCGCCGAGGAAGAGACGACAACTCCTTCCACCCTCGAAGGCAAGGCCCTTTCTTTGGAACGCCTCCTCCGAGAAGCCGCTCTCTTTCTGAGGAGGCCCCCCCCCCCGCGCAACCCCCTCGTGCGCGCCGCCGGCGGAGTCCCGAGAAACTGGTCCCACGGCTGGCTCTTCGTGCCGAGCCGGGCCGTCCCGGAGGCGGCCCACGGAGCCCAGGAACGGGGCGCATAGGACGAGGATGCGCTGGCATGGTGCCGTTGGCTCAGGATGCGCCCAAGGACTTCCAGTGCATCCAGAGGCCCTCGTTTCTGGAGCGCCCGTGTGGAATCATAGGACAACTCGGAACTCTAGAGCATCCTTGACATCTTGAGCAATCGCATCCTTATGACTTCTTGCTCCTCTGAGATACAAGGGGAGATGGAGAGGAACCGACAAGCCCCCCAAAACAGGACTTTCGGAGATCCGCGCGGCTTTCTCGGATCGGCGCTGGACTCCCCCTTCCCCGGCGCTCGCACCGCGCCCGCGCGGAACTCCGACAGCATTTGTGCACCCTTTCTCTTCGACTTGCCGTCGTTCGGAGGTCCATTTCCCGTGCATTGTTCGGTTTGGTGCGTGTTTTTTTGCTCGATGGTCCAGGATGGTCCTCGATGGTTCTCGCCGCGAAAAAATGCACACGTCCGAGCGATGCCAGGTCGAAGGAACGGAGAGGAACCTCGGGCTCGATCTCCCCAGGATGCCGGGCGTCTGGGTTCCCCTCCCCGGTCGGCCTTCTTTTTCGCCTCGGCCTTGGCCTTCGCGGCGGCGCCAGCCCCGCCGAGCACGCCGGCCCCTGATCGGGGGACGGCGGACTTCTCGGCCTCCTGGGCGGCGGCGAAGTCGCTCATCTCGCTGTCCTGCGGCGCGTGGGCCCATGCGATGAGAAAGCCTCCTGCTATGAGGAGTTTTGGGGCACAATCTTCGTCGATCGTTGAAGACCCTGAGGTGCCTCAGAGCTGCTGTGCGTCTCCCAGGGGCCGCTGAGGGGAGAAGAGCCTTCAGCGGGTTGGCAGCGCGCGCAAGGGGGCATGGGGGAGCGGGGAAGGTTTCGCAGAGAGAGGCTGCTTATCAGAAGGCGCGGGTCCTACATCTACAGACGGGGCCTGCGCCTTCTAAGAAGCAGGGGTGCTTCTAAGAAGCAGGGGTGCTACCCCCCAGGGCGAGTTGCCTTCACAACACTTCCCCCCGTTCAAAACGATAGGATTGAGCTGAGATCAAGATGGTGGACAGGAATAAGATCATAGGTCAGTCAGTCAGTCAGTCAGTCAGTCAGTCACAGGCCGTGCACCCCGGCGGGCGCATAGGCAAGACGATTTGTGCACGTCGGCACGCTCGTCAAACATGTGAAACATGATACAGATCCACGTTCGCTTGCACTGGCCAGCAAGATCCTTGCTGTCAGGAGAAATTGCCCCACCCCGAAAGAATGGTCAAATCTCGAGATATCGGTTTTCACCAACCCTCTTGACTGACTGCCACCTGGCACGGGAAGCCCTGAGACCCGAAGTGGCGAAGCACTTGCAACGTAACGACGCAAACCACGACAGGAGCCTCAAGAGCCCCAGACCCCATCTTCTCCTTGTCTGGGGCCAGTTCGATCCGTGATGGCCCCGGGGCCCATAGTCAGACGAAACCGCCCAGTGTGAGAAAATGGCAACGCCAGGCTGTCAGGGAAAGTCGTCCTGGATGGCGACGCAGTCGCCGTCGCCGGCCGCAAGGCGGGCCGGCCCGGAGAGTGGCCGCCAGAAGCAGCCAGTAGAGTCGGACTTGATTGGACAGGACACGCGAGAGGACACAAGACCCTTCCGAGGGCCACGTTGCCATAGGAACGTGGGAGGCATTGGTCGCGAGACACAGGACACGAGGGTACTCTTGATCTGGCAGGGCCGACCTACCAATCCGGGCCGCCTGCAGGGCAGCCTGGCGCCTGCAGCACGAGGCGTGGTAGCGGAGGGAAAGGCGCGAACGCCTGGCCCCGGTGCTCGTGCCTCCCCCTCCGCTGCTTCGGTTGGGCACTCTCCCTCTCTCCCTCGCTGCTCCTCCCTGCCTCGAAGCTCCTCTCCCCCTCCCCCTCCGCAGCTACTCGATATGAATACTACTCTCGTCTCTCCCCCGAAGATGGCCGGGGAGTCGCTCGCCCCCCTCCGCGTATTGTTTTTGACACTCGGGATGGTGCCGAGTTGCGTTTTTCCCCAATTAGGCTTGCCTGAGGGGTTCTTACTTGATTAAAGGTCGGTGACTAATAATCCTACGTTGCCCGCTGCTCGGAGGTTCCCCAGGTTCCCCGCCCCCAATGCCTCCTATTGTTATTTTGCCCGTTGCTCGGAGGTTCCCCGGGTTCCCCGCCCCCGATGCCTCATGCAAGCAATGCCAAGCAATGCCAAGCAATGTGAAGCAATGCAAAACAATGCGAAGCAATGCGAAACAATGCCAATCAATGCCAAGCAATGCAAACCAATGCAAAGCAATGCCAAGCACTGCGAAACAATGCGAAGCAATGCCAGGCAACGCCAAGCACAGCGAAGCAATGCAAATCCCTGGGTTCCCCAGGTTCCCCGCCCCAGGTACCTCATGCCAAGCAATGCCAAGCAATGCCAAGCAATGCGAAGCAATGCAAAGCAATGCCAAGCACTGCGCCAATGCAATAGGAAACTTTCCCCTGATTGTGGTCGCGCCGGGTCCATTTTTACAATCCGAACGTTCTCGTTGCTCCCAGAATGGTGCTCCCGCTGCAGCGTGGGCCTCATCTTAGGATCGCGGCTCTCCTTCCGTCGTTCAGAACGGCGCTCTCGCCCAAGCGCGGGCCACTTTCCTGGATCCGACCCCTTCCTCATCGCTGTCGCCCCCCTTCTTTCCCCTCCCCCGCCTTCCCCTGCTCCTCATACTTCTCCCGCTCCTTCCTCTCCACTTCCCGCTGCTGCTGCTGTTCGTCCTCGTCTTTCCCCTTCCTCCTCCTCCTCCTCCTCCTCCTGCTCATCCGTCACCTCCTTCCAGGTCCGCTATGACACGCGTCCGCGGATAGAGGAAAAGTAGCCCAATGACAAGGGATGGGTGAGAGGGGTAGGGTGTCAGATATGGTGCGAGCGCATCTAGTTTGCCACTTCTCTCTCTCCTCTCCAGGTTGACCTTTTGCACCTGGGCACCCAGGTGCCCTGGGTGCCCAGCTGCAGAAGGACGGCCGTCTGGGCCAGCGACTGGTACCGGTGGCATCCTCCCTGTGGCCTCCTGCCCTAAACATCGCACCCTTGGTCGATTTGTCTGCGGGTCACAACTCTGGCCTCGGGCGGACGTTCGAGACGATGCGGGCGGCCCTGGACGCCTCTCGACGAGGCGCTGCTGATGGAAGCTACCACCGGGTCCGACATGTTCTACACAAGCACCCACGTAATCCCACCAGCTCTTAGGGCGTAGGTGGTCCAGGGTGTTTTGTCTTCCGTCCGCCCCTCTTCCCCTTCGGGGAGGGGTTTATCACTGTTCCTTATTAAGGTACAACCCCTCCCCCAGGCGACCGGGGGACAAACAGGCACCATGCCGACACCATGCCCACCCGCCCCCCACCATCCCTATCGAAAAACAAGACAAGCTGCACTCTGCCTCCACATTTGGAGCATGCTTGGACAAACTCATGCGGCCCCAAAACCATCCTTGTCAACAATCAATGCAAAGTACACTTTGGGGCAAAGTCTTGAATCATGTTCGTGGGGCCCGCGAACACTTCGTATTGTTTTAACAAGGACGGCGGGGGTGTCAGCATCTTCCCTGCCGTGCGCAGGGCTACCATCCTTGACAACAACAATGCGACATGCACATCGCGGCTAAATCTGGATCATGCGCGGCCGTCCCGCGATCACTGTCAAGTGGCTTTTGACAAGGACGGCGGGGGTGGTGGCGCGTGGCCTGCTGTGCGCAGGCCCAACAGACACAATGATGGGCATCGGTTTTCGGCAAGGATGGCGGGGGCTGACATGTTTCCCGATCTGTGCGGTCATGTGCGCAGGCGCACCTGACGCACTCTGTACGTGCCCCGAACGTGGCGCACTTGGCGCGGCTGGAGTGTGCGGCACGCGTGGCGCACTCAGAGCACGTGGCGCATCTGGCGCACTAGGCGTGCCTGGCACGCTCGGGCCCCAGGGGTGCCTGGCGCGCGTGGCGCCCCTGGCACGCGTGGCGCACCTCGCCCAAACGTCGCGCACCTGGGGTCGGCTTTGGTTCCCAGTAGCTGTCCATCCAAAGACGACCGCTGAACATGCTCAGGCTCGGGTGTTACTTATGTGTAGGGAGGGCGGATGGGAGCGAGCTTGCGGGCGGAAGGATGTCTTGACCCCTCCCCCCCACCCCCTCTTGGACTTGGGCGGGGCCGGTCGCAAGGTGCCAAAGCGTCCATAACGGCCTCGGCGACGAAACCCAAAACACTGGTTTTACTACAAGTTTTGGCTCCATTTTGGCTTCTTGGGGGGGGCACCGCTAAGTAAGGTTCCCCTCTTGTTTGATCGATGTCCTCCAAAATGGCCCAAATATGGCCCCCAAGGCTCCCAAGGGCGCTCCACGAGAGCCCCAATAGGCGCCCAGGGGGCCCCAAGAGGCCTCAAAGAGGCCCCCAGGATGCCCCCGAGAGGCTCCCAAGAGACCCCCGAGAGGCCACCCAGAGGCACCCGACATGCCCCGCCAGGCCTCGGAGATAATACCACAATCACTGAATGTACGAAGGTTTTGGCCACATTTTGGCGTCCTAAGGGGGGGGGCGCTGATTACGATGGCTCCAAGAGCGCCTGGGCGAGCCCAAGATGACCTCCCAAATGGCCCAAGATACCCCAAGATGTCTCAATATGTCCCCCAAGATGCTCCAAGACCGCTCCAAGACGGCTCCAAGTGGCCAAAGAGCTCCCCCGGGCGGCCCCGAAGAGGACAACATCCTTCCAAAACCTTGGAAAATCATGTTTTTGTGCTTTCTCGCCTTTTCGCTTCCGATGGCCATCCGGGGCTCCAAGATGGCCCCAACATGGGCCAAGAGGTCCAAGAGAGGCTCAAAAGAGCCCCAAGACGGCCCCCCAAACGCCCAGGAGCGCTCCAAGAGCGCCCCAAGATGCGACTTCTGGGGCTCCCGAGGGGCAGCGCTAATGAATGCTCCCCTCTTGTTTGGTCGATGTCCTCCAAAATTAAGATGGCCCCAAGGGTGCCCCCAAAGCTCCCGAGAGCGCCTCAAGAGGGCTACAAGAGGAGCCCAGGAGACCCCAAGAGGCGCCCAAAAGTCCTCCGAGAGGCTCCCAACAAACCCCCAAGAGGCCCGAAAAGACTCCCCGAGACGCTCCCAAAGCCTCCCAGGACCGCCAAGAGGCCCCCAAGACGCGAAAGAGGCCCAAGAGAGCCCCAAGACGGCCCCAGAGCGCCTAAGTGAGTCCCAGTAGCGCTCCAAGAGGGACCCTTCATCTGCGTGGTGCCCGCTTCCCTGGCCGAGGCGTATCCTCTGGGCATCGTCTCTGGAGGGGCTGGTGGGGTTCCTTTTTGCTCGCGGGCAACGCGGGCAGCCGCGCGCCGTCTAACAAATCGTGAAAGTGCAGGTTAAGCGCAGGCAGCACGCGGAAAAGGGGGCCACAACGGTGGCGAAGACTACGCGGCAGAAGCGAAAGAGCAAGAGACACACGAGGATAACAAGAAAGGCGAACAAGAGGCGAGAAAAGAAAACACGACAGAGAGACAAAGAGAGAGAGAGAGAGAGAGGAACCGCGCCGCAGCTCAGGCTCAGGCCATGATGAAGACGAAAGCCCTTTGCCGAGGAGCCGGAACTTGTAGTAGACCGTCGTGCCCAGGCCAAAGCTCACAG